AATCTTTCTTGTTTTTTTTTTTTTTTTAGGTATACCAGCTATTTGTCCTTCTACCCCAAAGTTTCTTCTGCATGGCATTCTAAAATAGTCTTTAGTTGCTTGTTCTGTTTGGTGTATATGAGTTTATTGTGTAAGAAAAGAAGATAGTCTGGACTGCACTGTCATCCCTGTCTCACTGTTATCTGACCCAGGAGAATGGCATTGGCATTTGTGATGTCTAGTGAAAATGGGACTTAGATGGAAACAAGCTGGTTGATGCTCAATACAGACAAGATAAAAATTAAAGGTGGGCCAAGAAAATGGTTTATGAACTAAAGCAAGGTATAAATGAAAGTTACTGTCTTATTGTTTAAAGCATAGATTCAACCAGAGTGTCATGGTTGAAAGCTAAGAGCTGATGTTTTTTGAGGGATGCTTTAAGTCTAAAAAGGTGGAGAATCACTGGCTTAGGATGTTTGTCTATCTTCTGTCAAAAACACCTCACTTTAAAATCTGAGTGCTCCTACACTTCCAGATGATAAAGATATTGCAGGCATGGGGTGTGGTTTTTTGTTTTGTTTTTTCTTTGTACATGTGTGGAAACTTAAAGTGTACAAATCTCTTGTTTAGACTGATGGCTTTACAACTACTGGATTTTAGTGCAGTGAGGCTACATTTGACAGAGGTTACTTGGCACATACAGCTGGTACTGGTTAAGTCACAGGGAACCTATTACACTAATTTGTGTGGCAGTCCTGAAACTTTAAATATGTACTAACAGCAGATTTTTCTCTCTGACCTAACAAGATAGCAGCCTGACCTTGTTTTCTCTCAGGTATTTCCCCAAGGAAGGTGATCAGATAGCCAGACTTACTTGCTCTTTATGATTATTCTTTACTTTTTGATATTTAAAAACAGGCAGTTTGGCTTCTATCTCAATTTGTGTATGCATCAGAAATATCAGAGAGACTGTCTTTTATACATAACTTTTTAAAACACATTCTGTGTGGCTGATGCAGCTATTTTTGATAAACAGTTCTTGTAATTAAATATCAGACTTAAAAATATCAAACTAATACCAATTAATAAGCATCTGCATACCATGAGAGCAGGGAAGGACCCTGAGCTTGTCACCATCTTCATATTCATCCAAACAAATGGCACATACATCATACTCATCTCCTGCAGCAGAAAATTGTGAATCAATGTTAAACTATAAGAACTATTAGTCTTCAAATACATTCAGATATGTTCTAATTATTTTCTTTTGATGTTTTTGGGTACTATTACCTTTTCCTAGCCTTAGAATGCATTAACTATCAGAGGAGTATGGTAATTAAATTCTGAAATTGATAAAGAAAAAAGTACAAGCATGGAACTCAATGTTGATCATCTCCACAAATGGCGCTTAAAGTTGAACATCACACTATCATCACTGTTCCACCTGGACAATTATCAGACCATGCTAAATATCGGAGTAGGCAACCACATTCCTTTCCACGAGCATACCCACCCTCAGCACAATATTGTGCTCCTGTACAGTCCAGAAGTTGTCTCACTAAAAGGCTTGAAACTGTACTTAATGGTGTGCTAAGATTCATCACAGGCTGCACAGCTTACACACACAGATGCCCTGTACTCTCGAGCATTAGACCAAGCGATATAAGAAGACAGACCCTAACATTGTTACTAGCAATACAGGCAAGAGATGAGTATAATCACCTGCTCCATCAAATGTTCATTGAAAAACCAAATAGGTGGAGGCTTAAGAGGCTTAAACTGTTTATATATGAAGCCCACAAACTCCTGGAAGAGATTAGGGATACTGAACCAAATCTATGGGCAGTAATGGGGTGGGATCAAGGTCAGCTCTATTCCTAGACCATCTTATACTAACAGTGAATGCATACCTCACTGGGCATGACCTTGTCAGAGAAACATGGCTCAAGCTGAACAGACAGAGTTGGATACAGATACTTCAAAACGACACTTAACAAGATGAACATCTTAGAATATGGTATCCAGCAAACAGCACAGCACTTCAGCAAAAGCTACAGTCTTTACAAATGCCCACACAAGGCAGATGGAATCTGCATATTAAACAATAATACCAGACAGTGGATCATAGATCTGGAAGTTGATACCTGATGCCCTATTTTAGTTTACAAGGGCCATCCTTTAGTTTCCTTTTTTAAAGATGAAGGAAGACAGGAGGTCAAAAACAGCGCCAAGTTTAAAACTACAGCTTTTGCATTTGCTTCCCTGCACACCAGGAGCAGAGCCGAGCCCCTCCACCAAGGACCCGGGGGGGGGGGGGGGGG